TTTTAGATTAGATTCAGAGTGAGCAAGATACTCGCGGTGACATTTCTTTGAGAGGAATTTGTAACGTGCTCGGCATAACGAAAAATGACGATAGTCAGCTAGTGAAAGTGACGACTTATACTTAGCATGTGCCAGACGCTTTGAGGATACTAGTTTCTTTAGTTCAGAAGTAAACCAAGGTGGGAATGTTGAGGGACGAACAGTGATTTTAGGAACATAAAGGAGAATAGAAGTGTGAAGAGCATCATAAAAAGTATTCATGGCAGTANGAAACATAAAGGAGAATAGAATTGTGAAGAGTATCATAAAAAGTATTCATGGCAGTATCAGCATCTAAGTCCTTAAATGTTTCATCCCAATTAAAGGAATTTAAAAAGTCATTAATATGACAATAGTTAGCTTTTGAAAAATCATAAAAGGAGGTAGTGCTTTGAGGGGGTGGACTGTGAGATGAGTTAAGAATTTGTAAGGATAGTGGAGGATGATAAGCGTCTGGAGGTACAGCTGAATCAGAAGCGACATTGACATTTATTAATTTGTAGTTCGAGAGAACAAGGTCCAGGAGAGAGTTATGAGAGTTTAAGTTATAATTTAGTTGAAAAAATCCATGTAAAGAAAATAACTCAGGAACACTAAGGTCTTGAGAAGGGGAAGAAGAGGAATAGCAGAGGCCATATTCATCATTTGACCAGATAATACTGGGGAGGTTATAATCGCCGCAGACAATAAATGAATAGGAAGGATATTGGAGAAAAATATTTTCAATGGAATATAGGTGAGCTCTATATAAATCAACAGAAGAATAGGAGGGTAGATAAACACCACAAATTATGAATTTAAAGGAATTAAAATGAAAATGAACAAATAATTGTTCAACGCTTTTATCTGGAGAAGGGATTAAGAAAGAAGGGAAATCTTTGTGAATTCCGATAAGGACTCCACCTCCACGTCCGCNCCATAAGGACTCCACCTCCATGTCCGCATAATCTGGTAAGGGGTGATCTGTCGCATCTATATATGTTATAATTAGTAAGGCCGAGTTCATTAGAATTAAAATTTTCAGTAAGCCAAGTTTCAGTTAAGATTATAAATGAATGATTAAAATAAGCAGTGTTACATGAAAAATTAAATAATTTAGTGCGTAGANTCCATTAAAAATTAAATAATTTAGTGCGTAGACCACGACAATTTTGGTAATAACCATTAATATTATGCGATTTAGAGTATTTAAATTGATCAGAACTTATAGATTTATTGAATTNATTTAAATTGATCAGAACTTTTAGATTTATTGAATTTGTTAATAAAATTTGAAAAATGTTAGAAAAATGTATTGAAGGTAGATTTGGCAGCACAACACTTACGACAGTATGAGGTCGATAATATATCAGACTTGTAGGTGCAACATCCAGGTAGATAAGGTAGAGCGGTAGTGTTGTTGGTAGGTGAATTTAAGTTCGGTGTTTGGTTTGAAGAAAATGAGATCCGTTTTTTGATTTCCTTTTCAGAACTGTAGGGACGCCATTTAAGTATGAAATAGTAAGGTCAGCTTCGCCACTTTTCGTTCGACGATCTAATTCGGAATGACAAGATCGAAGCTGCTCGCGTTCACGTAGTGTCTTGTCACGAACAAGCTTTAAAACTTGATTGTTTGGGGAACGTTTACTAGCAGTATTAAATAATTTTAGAAACTCCACTGCAGCTAATTTATTTTTGAGAAAAATCTTAAGTGGACGAGATGAATGGTCATTTCTTCTTCCCAACCTAATGACTTTAATGTCAGGAGGGGCAGAAATTCCCACAGAAGAAATAAGTTCAGATAAGTTCTTTAAGTCTTCACTAATTCTATTCCCGAGTTCTGGTGCATTTGATTCAGGGACACCAAAAGCAATTAAATTTGAGCTACATTTTTCACGCTCAGATAATTCGAACATTAATTGAGATGCTGAGTCATGAGAAGAGCCAGGGTTATTTTTCTCAAGATTTGCAATTCCTGTGTTAAGGGCAGGAATATCATTTTTTAAAGTTATATTTTCAGATTTTAGTTCAGAAATTTGTGCTATGAGTGTATCTAGATTGTTTGCGTTTGCTTTACATTGTGCCAAAGTATCACTTTGAATAGATTTTAAATCAGCAATGGCTTTTAATATTTCTTCAGATGTTACGGGCGTAGAGAGAGTTTTATGATTTTTCGATGAATTTGAAGAAGCAGATCTAGTCATTACTTGAGTTTTGGGCGATATTGGGTTCATTTTATGTTAATAAANGACCAACTCCCCTCATTCCTTATTTTCAATATTAAAAAAACTTCTCTATGTTTTACTTTTTGCTTAGCCATTATTTTTATTCAAAATATCTCTTTCTTTATTCTGCCTATTAAATCTCCATTATTATTATATATATTTTTTATTTTACATGACCATGTTTAAATATTGTTATAACTTTGTACTAATACTACATGTTATTTCAATTTTTAACTTTGACTCCCAACACTTCCCCTCTCCCGTTATGAGACTCATCTCCCCGTGAGTGGTTATAGTCGCATGGTAACGTCTCAGGGGTTGTAGTACGCTGTTTTGCCGAAACATCGTCTGGGCAGTGATATGCCAACTAACCATATCCATGTGTTTCGCGGATTTGATGGCCTCAAATCCCACCACCCCTTCCTTCACAGTCCCTATTACTCTGATTATTTATGTATTTTTGTTTCTATGGAATGTTGATTGAAAATGTACCTAAGGTACAGCTCCTAGTGTGACCCACCTATGGCCATAACCTATAATATTTGATATCCTTATATTTATATATTAGTGCTATCCACGGTTCTTATAACCATTCATCTTAACTATTATAGTTACTTAGTTAATTGTCAACATATTTTTATTAGGTGTTTACTGTTTTAACACAGACCCTTGTTATATTAATATTGACTTCTGTTAACCATTTATCTTTTTATTAATTTATTTGATTAATTCAGTTTGTTGTTTTGATTAACAAATTTATTTTAGTTAAAATCTATTAGCTCAAAACCTCATCTATTAAATTGTTTTCATTTAATCTTGCTGTTAAACTATTATACATTTCTTTTTGTTCTTTCTCTCTCTTAATACTCCTTTTAAGTTAACTGTTTGATTAAATTTTATTTAATCATATATTATTCTGGTTAAATTGACTCTAAAAAACAATTTGAGACGACGACAATGCCAATCTTCTTTTTCGGATCTTAAAAAAGGCATGACTGAAATCAATACCAAATTATTAGAAGTACTTAAAAATAGCTAGGCAGAATGCAAATCCTACACAGACAAAGAAATTTCGGATGTCCGAGTCGAATTAAAAACCGACATTTCTAATTTATCGGAACGGTTATGCTTAGTTGAAGGTCAAGTTGCTAGATTAGCTTCCCTTGAATCCTCTGTCAAAAAACTTCAATTATCTATTCCTGATCCTAATGTAATGCCTCCTTTATCTCAAAACTCACATATTGAAACTGAAATTCCTAAAAAACTTAGATTCTCTTATGGTCCTCAAATGTCCTCTACCACTTTTTCCCTTAACTTAAACAATTTAATAATGATCCCCATTCAACTTTCCCAAATCAACCAACCTTTCCACCTACTCATTCCAATAATTTGTTTAAAGATTCTTTGTCTACCCAAACTACCTCTAATACTGAACCTCACCCTTCTTTTTCTTTAAATAATAGATCTATTCTCCTTCAAGAAAAATTTTCTAATGTTATCCATGAATATAATGGTAATCTAACACCTGTTCATTCTGAAGATTTTCTTGTTGAAATTAATGATTATTTCCAGTTACAAAATATCCTTAATTACCTCAAAATTAATATTGTTCGACGGCGAATGACTGGTGAGGCCAAACAATGTTTTAATGCTCTCACTCCTCCTCCTAATACTTTTTTCAATTTTGTTGAGCTCTTTCGCCAACATTTCTGTTCCTATAGTAAACAGCTAATGACCTGTAATGAACTTTCTCGTCCCTATTATCATCGTGATACCTCTACTCTTCAAAAACATAACATGAATGGTTTAATGAAGAAAAATATCTTAATCCTCCCATTGAAAACGAAACTCTTATATTCCAAATCCTTTCTCATTTTCCCGAAACTAGCCAGTCCTTTAAGAATTCATCGTATTAAAACCCTTAATGAATTAATTGTCCATTTATCCTATACTGAATATTTTAATAAAACATTCTAATTCTAATAATTTTTCAATGAACTCCTCTTATTCTTATAACAATTCTCAAAATAATTGACCCCAGAATCATAATCCTAATAATCCTTATCAAAAGCGATTCCATGGACGAGCTCCTTATAATAACAGTTAACCCCAAAATTCCACAAACAATTCTTCTCCCAATTAGTACTCCTAATGTATCCCAATCACCACATGCGGGAAACGACCAGTGACCAGTCTCGTAAGGACAATTTCTGTATCGTCTCCCAATATTCCTCATCCATCCATCCATCTCATCCATTAAGTCCTGATCAAAAAATCTCTCCTTCTCTTAGTTTTCGTCCCGAAATTGAAATTTCTATCTTTAATAATCTCTATATTGCTCTTCTTGATTCTGGTGCTTCTGTCTCTGCTATGTCTGAAAATTTATATAATCTTTACTGTCTATGTGTGGCTTCACTCCGAGGACATTTACCTATAACTGTGATCAGCGTTAGCACTAGGTGCTATTTGCCGGGCACAGAGGATCACTGAGCGATGAGCGATTATTTGATTATCAGCACCGTCAACAAGTACTGTCTTGCTTGGCTCGGCTACTAGGTCACTGTCCATTGTTCCTCATGGGCAATGGGTAAATAGTAGGTCCTCTGGTTTGGCTTAAACCTTACAGGTCCCTCACCTTTATTTAGGTTTTCATTTTAATAAAATAAATAAAAAACTAAGCTTATTGTCTTTGATATATTTTATAAAAATTCAATAAGATCATACAAAATAGGAACAGCAGATTTAAAATTTTTTTTTTTTCAGAGTATCATAATATTGAGAAGATATTTTTTAAAAATAATTTAGCATTCTCAAATTTGGTTAGATTGAAATCTTGAAAAATGATGTAAATATGATGTATTGGATTTCAGTAACATTTTCAAAACACTAAATATTAAACATGTAAAATATGAATAAAATTATTATTATCAAATTTTAAGAATATTTACACTAAATATAATGTAATAAGACAACATATTAAAAAATAGAATCATTTAAAAAGGCAATTAATTAGGACAACCATTTGCAATAGCATACAAAACTATATCAATATAATTATTTTGAATAGCTTCATTAATGGTATTTTTACTCCACGGGCAATTATTTTCATGTGCGTATATTATACAATCAAATTGATAATTTGCAGCAGCAAGTCTTGTAGTACTTTCGTCCCACTCACATCCATTTTCATAAACATATTTTAGGCAATCTATATGACCGTTTGCAGCAGCTGCACTCGTTGTCCCTACATCCCACCGACATCCATTTTCATAAGCAAATATCAAACAGTCAATACAACCACTTGCAGCAGCCTCCCTTGTTGTGCCTTCATCCCATTCACAACCATTTTCATGAGCATATTTCAAGCAGTTTAAATGTCCATTTGCAGCAGCCCCTCTCGTCGTACCAACTATCCAATTATATCCATGTTCATATGCATATTTTAAGCAATCTAAATTACCATGCGCGGTAGCTGTAACTATTGTATCTATATCCCAATTACATCCACTTTCATGAGCATATTTTAAACAATCGAAACAACCAAATGCTGCAGCAGCTCTAGTTGTTCCAACATCCCAATAGCATCCATTCTTGTGAGCATATATTAAACAATCAAAATTACCATTTAAAGCTGCAACTTTAGTTGTGCCAACATCCCATCGGCATCCATTCATATAAGCAAATATTAAACAATCTAAATGACCTTTTAAAGCTGCAACTCTAGTTATGCCCTCATACCATTTACATCCATTTTCATAAGCATATTTTAAGCACTCTAAATTTCCATATTCAGCGGCAACATTTAATATTGTTTCATTCCATGGACATTCATTTTCATAAGCATATTTTAAGCAGTCTAAAAAGCCATTTTCTGCAGCAGCTATGGTTGTATCTTCATCCCAATGACAGCCATTTTCACGAGCATATATTAAGCATTCTAAATTGTCGGAATTTGCAGCTAGTTCTGCAGTATCATCATCCCATTCACATCCATTTTCATGAGCATATATTAAGCAATCTAAATTACCATAAATAGCAGCTGCTTCAGTTGTACCTTCACTCCAATGACATCCATATTCATGAGCATATTTCAAACAGTCTAAATAGCCACTTTCCGCAGCATCTTTAGTTGTTTCATCATCCCATTGGCATCCATTCATGTGGGCATATATTAAACAATCTAAATGACCATTGTAAGCAGCAGAACTAGTTGTGCCTTCTGACCAAGTGCATCCATTTTGATAAGCGTATTTTAAAATTTCTAAATCACCGTTAAAAGCAGCTAGTTCCGTTATATTTTCATCCAATTCACATCTATTTTCATGAGCGTATTTTAAGCAATCTAAATGTTCATTTTCTACAGCAGCTTTTGTTGTTTTATGATCCCATTTACACCCATTTAAATGAACATATTTTAAGTTTTCTAAATTACCATATTTTGCCGCTGCTTCTGCTGTGGTCTCATCCCATGGACATCCATTATCATGTGAATATTTTAAAATTTCTAAATTACCATTCATGGCAGCACCAATAGTTGTGCCCACATCCCACTTGCATCCATTCTTATGAGCATATTTTAAACAATCTAAACATCCACTTTCTGCAGAAGCTCTAGTTGTATTTTCATCCCATTTACATCCATTTTCATGAGCATATTTTAAGCATTCTAAACATCCACTTTCTGCAGAGGCTCTAGTTGTATTTTCATCCCATTTACATCCATTTTCATGAGCATATTTTAGACATTCTAAATGTCCATTAGCAGCAGCAGCTTCTGTTGTGCTTTCATCCCATGGACATCTATTTTTATGTGCGTATTTTAAAATTTCTAAATTACCACTCATTGCAGCACCAGTAGTTGTGCCCACATCCCATTTACATCCATTTATGTGAGCATACACTAAACATTCCAAACTACCACTTTTTGCAGCTTCTCTTGTTGTTGTTTCATCCCATTTACATCCATTTTTGTGAGCATAAACTAAACATTCCAAACTACCTCTTTTTGCAGCTTCTCTTGTTGTTGTTTCATCCCATTTACATCCATTTTCATGAGCGTATTTTAAGCAATCTATGTGTCCATTTTCAGCAGCACCTTTTGTTGTGTTTTGATCCCATTTACAATAATTTAAATGAACATATTTTAATATATCTAAATTACCATATTTTGCAGCTGCTTCTGCTGTGCTTTCATCCCATGAACATCCATTTTCATGTGCATATTTTAAACATTCAAAAAATCCATTAGCAGCAGCATCCCTTGTTGTTTTTTGATTCCATCTACATTTATTTCTATGCGCATATATTAAGCATTCTAAATGCCCATTTGCAGCGGCAGCCCTTGTTGTATTTTTATCCCATCTACATCCATTTTCATGAGCATATTTTAAGCATTCTAAATTTCCATTTGCAGCAGCAGCCCTTGTTGTATCTTTATCCCACCTACATCCATTTTCATGAACATATTTTAAATTTTCTAAATTCCCATATTTTGCAGCAGCTTCTGCTGTGCTTTCATCCCATGGGCATCCATTTTCATGTGCATATTTTAAACATTGAAAATGTCCATTTGCAGCAGCTTCAGTTGTGGTATATTTATTCCATTCACATCCTCTTTCGTGAGCTAGTTTTAATGTTTCTATGTCACCATTTGTAGCAGCTTTTCTCGTCGTACCTCTTTCAAAAGGGCATATTTTTGTGCGTTTTGAATATACATTGTCAATCCCTAAATGAGCAAAAGATTTAATTAATTTTTCCCGAATAGAATTTTTATTGAGCTTTGTAATATGTAAAAAAAGTGATAGTTTAATTATTGTTTTAATTTTCCCAATACTTGTGCACCGTGGTTTCTCGCTAGGGTCCTAACAGTTGGCTAAGCCATACCTAAACGGGACAACACTGGCCTTATATAATTTATATCCTACTAAAAGGCAGGTTTCGGTTTCATGAACAAATAAATATAGACTCTCAACTAACAACGATAAAAAGCATTTATTTCTATTTAATATTATTTAAATATAACCAAATTAGATCTCTAGAGATGTTGGTGGTATCCAAATTAGGTGAGCAACGGTGGTGACGCGACCCGAAATAATAATAATGATTTAAATAATAATAGTATTTAATTTAGTAACTACAGCAATACTGCGCGAGTTATGTTATCAGATTAGATCAAGGTAAGTTGCCGTAAGTGTGGTAAAATATCGACTAACTTCGTTATGTTTTTAATTAATTTAAGAAAAGTATGTAATCAGTTTATTTACATCCTCGCGCCTCATACTCATAGTTGAGCTGTAGGGTCATTTGTGCTGATCAGACACTAGTATAGTTTTTAATAGTTAATTTTGGCGAAGGACGAATAATCTGTCCGTAATACTTGGAAAGTAGTAAAATAGTTTAAAGTGAAACTTCAATCATGATAAGTATTATTTTTAGATATCTTTGTTATGGGTCCTTATCAATTAAGTGTAAAAAATTGTATAAATATTTTGTTACCCTAGTTAATTCAGTGGGGGTGGAAACACGTACCACTGCTCCTAGTCGGTCATGACTTTGGTTAGTTGGGACCGGTAGGCCTGGGCATACCTGCTTGCTAACAGCAAATAGGCCCCCCTAATCCAGTCATACCAAGTGAAAGTGCTGCTAACTTGTCATAGGGTAGTTAGCCGAAAGGTAAAGTGACCATTGGGATCCTCTATGGCACCTGGCGCACCATAGAGTATACAGCCTAATCACAGTATCGAGCTCTGCTGTGATGGACATTAATTCTTGACTACTCGTGGGAACTATATGGATAAAAATATACAAACACCACAAAATATCGAACTTGGGACGAACAGGGATCCTACGGACAACCTGTCGGAACAAGAGCGTGAACTAGCGATTCTTCTGCGAAGAATCGCTGTACTTGAAGGTCTCAATGCGAATAACGGGACATTTGGTGAACCGTCTACTAGCAAAAAGGCAGCAACGTCAACTAATGCAGACCAGGAGTCACAAGATCAACTGGGAGCAGTAGCTGACAAAATCGAGGATCTAAAATTTAGACCCACGGACAATAGAATTCAATTCACTCAGATGAACCTGCATCACAGAAAGGGGGCCAATAGCGTGTTACTAAGGACCCTAACTGAGAGGCATACAACACCCTTACAGATAGCACTTATTCAGGAACCATGGATAATGGTGACCAGATTAAGAGGCTAAATCCAAGGAATTTTAAACTGTTTCTTAAACAAGCAGGTAAACCAAGAAATTGCATTTTGGTTAATGATAAAGTTAAAGCCAGCTTGATATTTAATCTATCGAGTGCAGACTTGACTATTATTAAAGTAACACTAAATGATGGTAAAAACATTATAGTAGCTTCAGGGTACCTACCATATGAGGTCTCAGATCCAGGTAGGGACCTAACTATGCTCTTTAATTATTGCAAAAATGAAAAACAATTTTTTTTACATTTTTAATTTTAATTACACTAAAAGGTTTTATATATACCAAAATTTTTTTATTTAATTGAACAAAAAGAAAAAAAATATTTTTCAACCATTATTAAAAAATCCACATAAAATGTATATATTAATACATTATAACTTTGTGACGTATGGATTGAATTTTTAAGAGAATCCTACTTAAAAAATTTTAGCTTCGAAGTGAAACTGAGATTGTATTAACGATTCAAAAGATACATCGTCGTTGCAAGGTATACAACGATGCATTAATATATATCGAATTGTATTTAGTTTAAGAAATTAACTTCAAAATTAAAATAATTTCTCACGTTCCCCGTTAAATCAGAAAATACCCCAAAATAATAAAATTAGTAAATTTAGACACTTTTTTAAATTGTTATTAATAAAAATTGTGATAACGTTTTGAAAAATGAACTTGTCAAAATAATTTTTTTTTATAAATATTTTTGATATTGTTATGTTATACATAGGATACCATTATTATTACAATGTACAATTTCAGAATTTAATAGTATGACATGTATACCAATAAAAAAATAAGCTATATATATCTATAGATATATACATATCTATACATATCTATATATATATACCTTTTAAATGTTTAAAAATAAATATATCAATATTATTTTGTATAAAAAACATACACGAACTGTATAAAAAAACAATTTGAAAAATAATAAACAATTTGTAATAGTAATGTGTTAGACATAAGATAATAAATAATGTGTAATATTTTATAGACAAACATTAGAACATTATGAAATGTAGATCATTATTGATGTGATGGTGTCACGTTACCATTATTGTGAGAATTATTTTAATAAAATACAGACAGCACATCCGCTTCCTGAGACTGGTGAATTAACAAATAGTATTGATTGCCAAATTGGCAATAATTCTAATTATTATAAAAACCCAATAGACCTGACCATCGTGGTCAGTCGAATCCAGTGCCTTGTGTCATTCATCAGTCTCAGTACTCGGTTGTCGCTGTCCGGCTTACTGCTTAAAGTAAAGTCTTTGTTTGTTCCTTTTTAAAACCTATCTACTCTGTTATTTTTCCTCACCTGGTACGCCAAGTATTTGTGTCTTGCACTTCGTCTGCACCTTATACTTGGCTACCACGTTCTCTCTTTGGAGTACTTGTGTCTTGCACTTCGTCTGCACCTCGTACTTTATTATACTCCTTATCTGGTACGCCCAGTATTTGTGTCTTGCACTTCGTCTGCACCTTATACTCGGCTACCCCGTTTTCTCTTTGAAGTACTTGTGCCTTGCACTTCGTCTGCACCTCGTACTTCATTATCCTCTCCTAATAACTAAAGTACTTGTGTTTTGCACTTCGTCTGCACCTCATATCTAGGTGTTACCCTTATTCCCTTCCTATAACAACAGCCTTACGACACCCACAGCTAACCCGGAGTGTCAGCCGAGCACGGTGACTGCTGTACGACATCACGCACGTGAATACCTAAACAGCAGGCACCACATCCTTATATTCATCTTCGTATATACATTACATAGTTACTCCTTTACCTTTTACATTTTACTAAGTTACGACATTGACGAAAATGTAATAAATTACAATTAATAAAAAAATAATGGTAATGTTATATATTAGTGGCTGCATTGTTCAGTAAATGTATACATATAATAAATATAGTTTAAAAAACAAAAAAACACGCTTTTAAAGTACATCGAACTAAAAAGTTTTTTTTTTTTTTTTATTTATAAAATAATAAAATTTACAATCTGTACATAAGAAAAGCAAATAAAATACAATAAGCAAATAGGTGAACAATAGAATATAACACATTTGACTTAAAAACGGAAAAAAGGGAAGCTATCCAGTGATGGGACCTTTTTGACTTGAATTGGTTATTTAGCCATCACAATATTAATTTAAAAGGTCACGGCACCAGTGTCTTTTTAGACGGCGAGGAGGGTTGTCCGGAATTGTAACTGTATGTTGGTTAGCAATTAATGGATTTGGATGTAGAAGTAATTTAGAGTGAAACTTTTTGTAGTATAATTTAACTAAAATATCGACTGGTTCAATGTTTAAATCAAGGGAAATTGCTTGAAAGGCTTCAATTGTTTTAAACTGCGATGTTTTGGCACAACCCCATATTTGGGCTCCGTAAGACCAAATTGGTCATAACATTGACTTATAAATGATTATTTTGTTATATACAGGAAGTTTTGATTTTAATACAGGACGTAATAAGTGGGATCTAATGTTTAATAGCTTTCTTTTGGATTTGAGATGAGGACCCCAGGTTAATCTTTTATCAAGTGTAATACCAAGATATTTGACTTAAGTCGAAGAAGAGATAGGAACTCCTTGGAAGGAGAGAACAGGCATATTTTTTTTATTGAGAGTGAAAGGAACATTTACTGATTTGTTTGCATTGATTTTAATTTTCCAATTTGTAGACCTAACTAAAAAGTTAAAAATAATTTTTAGTTCAATGTACTTTTAAAGTCTGTATTTTTAGTTTATTAGACTATATTTATTTTTTACTTTTTAGTTTTCTATGACATCGCTATCACAGTCATGGAGTGTTTATTGTCAATTATGACTATTATCAATTGATAATCATAATTTCTATATTGGCAGTTAGTGTATTTATAAATTCACAACAGTGTCTTACTACTATTGATAATAAAGGCTAGCTATATACTTGCTAATATCGTCATAAAAAAAAAAAAAAAATTATACAAAATTTTAAAAGAAAATATGAATTATATTTGTCAGATAATGACTTGGAAAATAAGTCAAATAAAATTTAAACTGCAATATTACATTCTTTTATTGGGGATGTTGCAAATGAGCTGATTGATACGCTTGAGCTGACTGATAAACCATGTTGTACTATATTAAGTGGCTTAGAACAATATTTTGAACCTAAAAGAAATTTAATAATAGATAATTTAAGTTTTTACAAAGAAGTCAGCAAGAAGGTGAATCATTTGATAATTTCTTAATCAATCTTAGAAAGCAATCTAAAAAATGTGAATTTGGTGAATTGAACAATAATCTTTTAAGAGTGAGGATAGTTCTTGGTATTAATGACAAGAGACTTCAGGAACGGTTATTAAGAGAACCAAAATTGACTTTAGAACAGACTGTTGAGTGTTGTAGAGCNATTAACATTAGATCAGACTGTTGAGTGTTGTAGAGCTACTGAATATGCTAAACAGAACCATTCAGTAGTAATGTCAAAGGGTGATTCTAATTATTTATCAAGTAATTCAATGGTTGATGCTGTTACTTATAATACTAAAACAGTACATTTTAAAGATTCCAACAAGTTTGGTGATAAGTCAAATGGGTTAAAAAGTGATGGTCAGTCCAGTCAATCAATAAAATATAAAAATCAGGACATAAATGTTTTGTATGATTGTAAGAAATGTGGTCGACAACATGGTCCTAGGAGTTGTCCAGCTTTCAATCAAAAATGTAAGATATGTTTAAAATTTGGTAATTTTGCTGTAGAATGTATGTCAAATATTGTTAAAGATAAGAGTAATTTTAATAATAATGTAAATGATAATAGAGAAGTTAGGGCTATTACTAATGAATATAATAATAGTAGTGACTAATTATTTTTTATTAATAAAGTTAATATATGTTAGTTTTATTAGAGAATCTTGATCAAAAAATATAATTGTTGATAATAATGTTATTAAATTTAAGCTTGATACAGGTTTTGATATAAATATTTTACCTTTGAGTATTTTAAAAAAATTAAATAAGAATTATAATATGCTAAAATATGAGGTGAAAATACAACTTTATGGAGGCTTTATTATTGAAGCAGTTGAATAATAACATTAGAATGTATGGTTAATAATAAAAATTGTGTTTTAAAATTTGTTGTTATTAATGATTTAGAGCTTAAGTGTAAAGTTGAACCATTATTAGGGTTAAGTGACTGTATGAAATTAGATTTAATTAAAAGAGTAAGTGACGTTCAGTTAAAAGAAAAATATTCAGATAGAAAGCAATTTATAAAAGAAAATAAGAGTGTGTTTTCGGGTTTGGGTAAGTTTGGTGAGGAATATACTATTAGGTTAATGCCAGATTACCAATATAAAATTAGGCCACCACGTAAAGTACCTGAATCTATTCTTAAAAAGTTAGAAGATACTCTGAAATTATTGTGTGATAAGGGAATAATTAAACAAACCAGTTGAATATCATAAGTCATTTGCCAGTAATATTGTATTTACAATATTTACAATATTGTTATTGTAGAATAAGGTAATGGCAATTTAAGAATATGTTTGGATTCAACTGATTTAAATAAGTATATTAAAATAGATTATTTTTTGAATTTCTACAGTAGATAAATAAGAGAAAAATTAGATAATTAATAGATAAAATAGATCTTAGAGAAAGTTTTTATTAGATACCGCTAAGTGAGAATTCAAGTGAATTGTGTACTCTTAGCTCACCTAATGGATATTATACATTTAAAAGATTACCTTTTGGAATATTTTGGACATATTAAAAATGTAATTATATATATAGATGATATATTAATAGTAGGTATTAATGAAAAAAAAACATGATGAGGCGCTAGATGAAGTAATAAACAAAGCAAAAGAATTGAATGTTAAGTTTAGTCCAGAAAAAGTACAGTACAGACAAAAGAAAATAAAGTATTTAGGAATGAAATTTAATAATGAGGGAGTTAAGCCAGATGAAAGTCAAATAGAAGCTATAAAAAATTTAAAGGAGCCAAAAAATAAAATAGAGTTGCAACGCATACTAGGTATGTGTAATTATCTAAGAGAATTCATACCAAACATGTCTAAAGTAACATCAACTTTAAGGGAGTTGTTAAAAAAANCTAAAATAACATCAACTTTAAGGGAGTTATTAAAAAAAAATATAGATGGTTGTGGACTCAACATCATTCTAATGCATTAAATGAATTAAAGACACTAATTACTAATGTACCAGTTTTATCAAATTTTAATCCTAATCTTCCTGTTATTATACAAACAGATGCTTCAAGTACAGGAGTAGGTTGTTGTTTATTACAACAAAATAAACCAGTTGCCTTTGCTTCAAAAAGTCTTAATGATACGGAGAAAAATTATCCTCAAGTAGAAAAAGAAATGTTAGGCATAGTTTTTGTTGTAGAAAGTTTCACAATTTTATTTATTGTTATAAGGTAATTATACAAACAGATCATTCTCCTCTGTTATCTATATGTAAAAAAAAATTATGTCTAGTAGAATACAATAAATGAGACTTAAGTTAATGTTGTATGATTTAGAATTGACTTATTTGCCTGGTAAATATATGTATCTAGCGGACTTTTTATCTAAAAATCATAGTAGCAAGACATATAATGAGATTGACATAAAAGGTACTATACATTTTGTTAATAGTGAAAATAGTTTACCTAAAAGTGAGTTATGTGAGCAAACAGTGAAAGACTCAGTTTTAAGACAAGTACTTGAACTTAGTAAAGAGTGGTCTAATAGAAAAGAGCATGTGCCTGTTGAAATAAGGCACTATTGGAATTTAAGAAATGACATTTAAGTGATTCAGGTATCATATTTTTTAAAGACCGCATAGTAGTTCTTTTTAACACGCTTATATTAGTTTCACTTGTATATTGTGTGTTGTGAGTTGTTTGTAACTTTCCACTCGCACGCGTACGAGACTAGACGGTCGGAACGTATTCACCCCACCCCGCTCTACTGTCGTCGAAAATAATATTTTCCAACCCGTAGACGCGTGCGTGTCATCAATTATATATATATATATAACAAATTTTTATTGTAATTGACACAGCCCTGCGTCGTTTTACGCCGCGGTGCAAAGTCCAGCAAGTGACGCACGGCCAACGACGTCCCGCCGTTAATGATACCGTAGTTTTCTTCTCGTTGTCAAAGTGACAACGACAACAAACCGATCCGCACTCGCGCACTGTTGTCATCTACGCTGCTAACCTTTAGACACCCGAGGATCACGCCGGACATCGCGTCGTCGACGCCAGCAAAAGTGCCCCGATATTATGCGAAGATCATATATTCCTACCGCCACCGGTAATATTAATATATATATATTAATATTTATACGTATATACGTATAGGTTAATATTCATTTATATATTCCTACAGCCGACGCCTCTGCTGCCGTATATGCCTCGTGTATAATGTTCCACCCGCTACGCCCGCCCACAAAACACGGCTATACTTCAAGCATGATACGTTTACGTACTTAAGTCCCTTTACATGTATATATATAAGTTAATATATAACTTATATATTAATACACTTTATTCTCATTAAGATATATGTAGTGTATTCATTCCGATTATAAGGGATGATTTCCGTATCGTCTTTTTTCGTCACTACCTCCACGTTCCGGGAGTGAGTAATTAGCGCGTCTGCTGTTTTCCTTGGATGTGATAGCCGTTTCTCTGACTCCCTCTCCGGAATCGAACTCTGATTTCCCGTTACCCGCAATAACAAAGATATTGATAGTAACTACTATCATAACATGAAACTAAAAAGTAAAAAATAAATATAGTTTAAAAAACTAAAAAAACACGCTTTTAAAGCACATCGAACTAAAAAGTTAAAAATAATTTATAAAATAAGCTTAAAATAATTATGAATAAAAAATACTAGTACTATTGTGATAAAAGCGTGATGCTTTGTGCCATATTTTTCGTATATTGAGCGCCTGACGCTTTTATCACAATAATACTAGTATTTTTTGTTCATAATTATTTTAAGCTTATTTTATAAATTATTTTTAACTTTTTAGTTCGATGTGCTTTAAAAGCGTGTTTTTTTAGTTTTTAAACTATATTTTTGTTTTAAGAGGAAAAGTATTAAGGGCACCACACATTGATCATAAAGGTATAGTAAAATCTAGATTAAGAGCCAAAGAAGTATTTTATTGGCCAGCCATGTCTATTGAAATTGAAAAATTTATTGTAAAATGTAAGTTATGTGAAAAATATAGTGTGTCTAATATAAAAGAGCCATTAATAGGACAAAATATACCTGATTTATCATTTGAACAAGTAGAGGTAGATATTTTAACTTTTGGAGGAAATGATTATCTTGATTTAATGGACTATTATTCCAAATGGATAGAGATTAAACAATTAAAAAATTCCAGCACTGAGATCACGGCATAGTAGTGATGAGGCATATTTGGATCAAGTATAATGATATCTGACAGTGATTAAAATCATTATAAAAAAAAATGCTTCTATGCAAATCTTTAGATAGTGTTTAATTTTAAAAAATTGGTGGATTATTCCAAAAGCTACATGATCTGTTATCTCCTTATTAATATTCTGAAAGAAAAAGGGATTATTAAAAATTATTATTTCTCATAAAAAAATTATATTGATCCATACACATTTCAATAAGTTATAGCATTATAAAGTTAAAAATGTGAAAAATAAAATCGAGTATTTTCGGCAACGGAACCCACTCTGGGGTCCGGCTAACCTTGTCAACTATTAATGGCTAAGATTGCATTACCAATACATACAAATAAATTAGTTCCTAAAGTGCCATGTGATATGTATGATAAACTGTGTGAACAGAAATTGAAGTATAAAATGTATTATGATAGGAATACCAAAGAGAGAGATAGTTTTGTGATAGGACAAAAAGTATCAATGAAAAAAGGCAGAGTGGTTGAAAGGGTAATAGTAAAAGAAGCTGGATCCAGATCTTATATTATAAGGGATGATAGTGGTAGTCAATACAGGAGAAATTCATTTCACTTAAAAAAATCTAAACCTGAGGATGAAATAAAAGAAAGTAATAGTGTAGGAACAGAATAAAAAAAAACAGAAGGAAAGGAGGAATAGACCAAATAGAATAATAAGATTACCAGCTAGATACAAAGTTTGAGTT